GGAGTTAAGCTAAATTCCCTTCTTGTCTTTCCCTTATACTGATGTAGCTATGTTTTAGCCAAATGGGCCTCTTCCTGTTTCCTGTATGTACCATTCCTCCACCAGCTTCTGTCCCTTTGCCCAAACTGCCTCCACATTTAGTATGCTCCCTTCCTCACCTCTGCCTCTCCAAATTCCAGTGCCTTCAAGGACCAGCACAAAGGCCACTCCCAATAAGAGGCCTTACTTGATTTCCCTAGTAGTCAGCACTCTCTTCTGCACCCTTCCCTGCTAATTTGTATTTATTTTGTATGTTTTTAAATCTGTAGAATATTGTAAGCTCCTTGAGGGCAGAGACCATTTCCTGCCTATATTTGTGCCCCTTAGCATGGTGAGTATATTGAAAAGGGCATAGTAAAAGCTGGTTGAAACCTCCTGTCTTACCTGGTGAGGTTGCACAGGTTATCCTTCCTGCATCTCTCAGTTTGCCTCTCCTAGCTCCCATGGTCCCTAGGAACAACTTGGTGGGGGCTATGAGCTAGCCTTGGCTGGAGAGCCCAGGCAATTTATTTACATTTCCATAGAGCACTGAGATTTACAAAGCTTTTTTCTTACCACAACACTGAGAGTTAGGTGTTGCAAGTATTTTTCTAACCATTTTATAACTGGAAACTGAAGCTCAGTGAGGTCTAGTGCAAAGCTAGTAAGTGTCTGAGTTGGGGTTTGAACCTCAGGATTCTAAGTTCAACAGGCTTCCCACAACAGAAGCTGGGGAAAGGCTAGAGATAAGACAATCTTTGTAGGGATCTATAGCTTCCTGATTGGATAACCACTTTCCTCTTCCCCATTGGTTTTCCCAGCCAGCTGGGCTCCTTCTTGCCTGAGAAAGCCCAAAGAAGCTTCCAGCCACAGTCGAGTCAATTCTCTCTGATCTCTATCCATAATTGGCTTTTTGGCTCCACTCCTGTCATTTGTGGGTAGGAGTCCTGCTCCCAGGCTCAGTCTCTAATGGCTCTGTGCTGGCCGAAGGCCAACTAACATTCCTAGTGGTTTTTGGCTTCCTTGACTTTCTGGTTCTATGGACACCCTGGTAAAGGACATGGGGTGGGGAGAGGGGAGGGAGCCCTAAATACCCTGGTTCAAATTACTTCTATACCTTTGGAGACCTTGGGTGAGTCAGGGCTCCTCAAGGGGCCTTGGTCTCTTCATTTACCAAACTGAGACATTCACATTCACTCCCTACCTTCTTTGTTGGGTCAACACAATGATAAGTGCTTTGAGATTCCCAAGAAAGAGTCCCCATTAGAACAAGAGTCTTTGTTACTGATTGTGATTGACTGGGCTGCTCCCCCTGAAGTATGGCTGATGCCTAAGGAGTGAGCTAATGGTACACGTATGTTCTGTCCCAGAGGGACATGTAGGCACAAGCATGCCCAGGTGCACCCTTTGATTCTAGAGGATCTGATATCACAGGAACAGAGGGGAGATCTCCTTCCACCTTAACCCCAGGCAATAGTGGCCCACCCCTGCTCCTTTAGCCAGGGCATTAATGAATTCCTCTCCCATTCCCCATCAGCTTTTTCCTCTCCTGGCTCCACCAGTCCCCTTCTTTCTTCCTAGGATGATGGGGAAAAAAAAAGTGCCGATCCCATCAAAACTGAGGTTCTGCTTGTTCAGGCAGAGGCCTTAGCAGCAGCAGCAGCAGCCTCAGTGCCTGCTTGCAACACTTACCTAACACCATTCCACGATTATATATGAGACTGTTATTGCTGCTGGGACACTCCCTGGGCTGGGTTAGACTGGGCTGGGCCCCCCACCTTATAAGCCCATCCTGACCTGACAAGGCAGGTGCTTTCTTCCTGGAAAACGACCCAGGTCCTTTTAAAGGAGCAGAAGCAACCTATTCAGAAATGCCCCGGGTGGGAAGTTGGGTGAAGGTGAAGGGGGGGAGGAGAGAGAGCTGAGTCCATACCACTCACTTTCTGCAAAATTTTCTTGTTCTGATAAACAAATCTGCCCCAGATCTGAAGAACTAGCTGGTTCTTTATAGAAGTTGTCTCCTGTTCTCCCCGATGGGAGCAAAACCCTTATTATTCTTTAAATGGCTAAAATGCTGATAAGGCTAAAGAAAAGAAGTTTTCTACTACTCAGTTGATTAGCATTTATTAATCACAAGTGCTAGGCACTGTGCTAATCTCTGAAGATACAAGAAAGGCACCCCCTAAAAAAATTCAGTCTTGCTTTCGAGGATCTCATGGTCTAATAAGGGAGATAGCATCATACAAAACACTGCGTTGGAACAAGATCCATAGAGATCAATTGGGAGTGGTCTCCAAGGGAAGGCACTAAGATTAAAGAGGACCGGGAAAGGCTTTTGCTGAAGGTAGGACTTTAGCAGAGACCAAAACAACCAAAAGCCTACATTTACATAACGCTTTATAGGTTGAGTTGAACACTGTGCTTAATGTTTAGGGAGTGCAAGAATGAGTATCCTATTTTTCAGATGAAACAGGTTCAGACGGATGAAGAGACTTACCCATGATTTATAGGATTACAGAATTTAGAGCTGGGAGGGACCTTAGAGACTCATCTGGCCCAACTCTTTTACCTGACAAATGAGCAAACGGGGCTTTCCATGGTAGAAATACAGGTGGAAGGACTGGAGAATTCATATGACGTAACCATAGGATCCTAGACCTGAAGGAGCCAGTCTTAGAGTGTAGGAAATCACAAGATCGTAGACTCGGAGTTGGAAGGTACCTTAGCGACTAGCCCAACCTTCCCCTTCCCCCTCCACTCCATTTTATAGAGGAGGAACTGAAGTCTAGAGAGGTTAAGCATTTAAGTTTACACCAATATTAACTAGAAGAGCTAAGATTTGAACCCAGGTCTTCAGACTCTCACCCGGCACTCTTTCCCCTGTATTGTGCTGTTTGGGTCATTATTCAGTGCTGCAGGGTCTTCTGTATCCTCTCTCTTTGGGTACCTCTAGAGCTCATCTCCACTCTGTTCACTATCTCTTCCCCAAACCAGAAGTGGATTTACAAAAATGTTTACCAGCAATTAAGGGAAAGGGGAAAAACAGAAAAATAGAGAAGCACAGACCCCAAGGATCCTTCCCAGGACATTGTACTCTGGGAACATACTAACGAATCAATTTAATGTTCACCAATTTGACTCACTCCATTTCAATCCTAGGCACTTCTGGTTAGGGAGCAGGGTATAGTGGGGCAGCTAGGTGGTAGAGTGGATAGAGTGCCTGGCCTGGAGTCAGGAAGACTCATCTTCAATCTGGCCTCAGACTCTTACTAGCTATGTGACCCCTGGGCAAATCACTTGACCCTGTTTGCCTCAGTTTCCTCATCTGTCAAATGAGCTGGAGAAGGAAATGGCAAAAAAAAATCCAGTATCTTTGCCAAGAAAATCCCATTTGGGGTCATGAAGAGTTGGACACGATTGAACAACATAGTGGAAAGAGCACTGGTTTTGGAGTCAGAGGACCAGGGTTCAAATCCTGCCTCTGATTTGACCTTTATGGTCTTGGTCAAGTCGTTTAACTTTTTGGCCTCAATTTCATCAAATGTACCATAAAAGGGCTGCACGACGTAGTTTTGAGGTCCCTTCCAGATCTAGACCTATGCCCATGCCCACTGTGGATTTGGAACTGAGGGAAAGCTGTAAGCATACATGCTCTCCCTTTTCCATATCTCCTTAGGATGCTACTGGACTCTTGTTTTCCCAGCAGTCCTCCTTTGCTCCTGCCATATTAACATGTCTCCACCCACTTCTCCAGACTGACAGCTGATCACAAGTGCCCTCCCCAGCACCCTCCAGGGTAATTGTCTCTATAGATACCACACATACACAAAACATCAACACTTCAACTAAACCCTCCCTGTCTTAGTAGCCTATTTCATGAGTTTTTAATATGCCTAAATGATCTGTGATTTCCTCAATAAAGGGAATCCCTTCTATGGGAACTCCCTCCACCAACCAGTTCATGATTGAGTTCACAAGTACTAGGGCATTGCCAGAGGCAGATAGAGGTTGAGCGACTTGCTCAGGGTCACATAGCTAGTTAGTATCAGAGACCAGGTCTTTTCTGCTGCCAAACCTGACACTGCCTCTTCATGAATTACTTCATGATGCTAAAACACTTATTAGCACCATAGTGCAGGGGAAAGAGTGTTGATTTTGGTGGCAGATGATCTGTGTTCAAATCTTGGCTCTGTCACCTATTACCTCTTTGATTTTACATGAGACTCTGTGACTCAATTTCCCCACTAGGAAAATGAACCCTAGATTGGTGGTGTCAAATTCAACTAGAAATAGGGCCATTAAATGGATGCCTACTGACTGCACATTGACTTAGAAAACCACATATTAACATTATCTATATTCTGTTGTATTTTTATTTGTTCTGTTAAATATTTCCCAATTTCATTTTAATCTGGTTCAGCTGTACTGTGGAGTGTGGAAGGCAGCCAGTTTGATATTTCTGGTTTAGATGGCCTCCAAAGTCTCATACATCTCTGCATCCATGATACTCTGATTTGATGGCTAGTCTTTAGTGATGAGATCTCCAAACCTGACCAGGTTGGTTCTAGTCCATTGACACCATGAGAAGCCCTTTTGAATGACTAGGACTTGGTGGACCTCGTGCTACATTGAGGTAGCCAACAGACTCCAGGATCCCATCTCTGCCATGTGATAGTGAAGCATCCAAAAGAAAACTTCAGTGGAGGACATGACATTAAACTGCATGATAAAAAAAAAGGAGGGTTGTCCCCTCTAAACTATACAAACAAGCTCCTCTTCCCCTTTGAGATTAAATAAAGAAGATGGAGGTCTGCTCTTCTACGACCCTAGGCCTGAGACTCGGACTACCTGCCCCCTTTCTTCCACCTTCAATTCAAATGTAACATACTTTCAGAGGACAAATTAAGCCTTCAAATAATCAGAAGTCTTATTAATTCCACTTTTGCTTTTTTTCTGTCCCTTCCCTTTATCCTACCCTACAGACAGAGCTATCTTTGCAAAAGGAGCAATTACAGCTGAAGATCATTGAGGTTGAAGATGAAGCTGAGAAGTGGCAGAAAGAGCGAGACCGGATTAAGGTGACTTGTCTTCCTACTGTCTTCCCTCTTACACTCCTTTACTCCACCCCAAGTCTGGAGATTTCCCGAGGCTCCCTTTGGCTGGTCGCTCCACTTGGAAATCTCAACCGTTCTTGGTTTCCTCGCCTAGTTCCTCCTCAGTGCTTACCAGGTCCCTCCCTCTGCGTATTGAGGCTGCTCCATCTATGGTTATTTCTAGCATACAGGTAGGCTCTAGGCTGCCACCCGAACCTTAACTAAGCCTTATAAGCAAGGTTCCACAACTAAGCAACCCATAAATATGATGACCTTCCCCAATGTCTGGGGATAGTCTTCTCCAATGAATGCTGCCCAGCTACCAAAAACCTGTTGCTCTAGTTACCAGGCCATCGTGTGTGTGTGTGTGTGTGTGTGCGCGCGCGTGTGTGTGCGCGCGTGTGTGTGTGTATGTGTGTACATTGGGGATGGGGAAGGAGAAGAGAATAGACTGGTATTCTTAGGAGCCTCCTTTCCTTAAGCTAACACAGACTAATGGTGGAATTCTGAAAGGTAATTGCTGAACCAGCCTAAGATGTTGGATAAGGACAATTTATCAAATAGGACGATCTGCCTGTGGACAAATAAAAATTGACTGCAAAATGGGATTGGCAATCTCTGCCCATCATGTGAGTCTTGGTAAGATCAGCTGCACCACTTGAGGGCAATGAAAACACCCTGATCCCAATTTCCAGGGACTTAGTAATGGGGATGCCCTGGTGATTTGTTTTAACGGAAGCCTTCTTTTTTCTTGTTCTCTCTCTTTTTCCCTGCTCCAGAGCTTCACCACCAATGAAAAAGCCATCTTGGAGCAGAACTTCCGTGACCTCGTTCGGGACCTTGAAAAACAGAGGGATGAAGTTAGGGCAGCGCTGGAGCAGCGGGAGCAAGATGCTGTGGACCAGGTGAAGGTGATTGTGGATGCGCTGGATGAGAGGGCCAAAGTGCTACAAGAGGATAAGCAGACCAGAGAGCAGTTGCACAGTATCAGCGACTCAGTGCTGTTTCTTCAGGTAATTTGTCCATCCATCCATTCATCCATCCATCCATCCATCCATCCTTCTCTTTACCTATATGTAGTTTTTAGTTCCTCCTATATACTTTGCATTGAACTTTGCTCTGTTGGGGTTACAGAAGATGCTGAAAGGAGTTTACAATCTATTTAAGGAGATAAGCCTTACACATGGGAAATAATTAGAGAACAATATAAGAAACCATGTAATTAAATGATGAACTAGGTGTTTTAGAAAAATATGTACCCTAAGAGCTTAGAGAGGGGAGATGACCCCAAATGACTAGAGGCTGAGAAGATGCCTCCCATTTTATAAATGTGAAAACTATGAACACAAGTCCACTGACTTTTCATGGTCAGCAAGCTCCTTAGTGGCAGAACAAGATGGAGAGCCCAGATTGTGGGGCAGAATTCCCAGCCCTGCAGTTCTTTCCATCGGACCATGAGGACATCTGTGTGGTGTAGTTAAAAAGAGTGATGGATTTGGAGTCAGGATGCTGGGTTTGACCCCCCCCCCCCCAGTTCTATATCTTAATCCTTAGGCCACTGCATTTAACTTCACTGGGCAGCTAAGAGGCACAAGTTGTTGTTACTGTTGATACTGATCCTTCATGATCCCATATAGGGCTTTCTTAGCAAAGATACTGGTGCTGTTTGCCATTTCCTCCTACAGTTTATTTTACAGATGAGAAAACTGAGGCAAACAGGGTTGAGTGACTTGGCCAGGGTCACACAGCTATTAAATGTCCGAGGCCAGATTTGAATTCATGAAGATGAGTCTCCCTGACTTCAGGCCTGGCACTCTATCCACTGTGCCACTGAGCTGCCAAAAATGGTACAAGAGCTGAGTTCAAATGTGACTAGCTATGTGTGACCCTGGGCAAGTCAATTAAGCACTATATGCTTCCATTTCCTCAACCGTAGAATGAGAATAATAATAGCACCAACCTTTTGGGGTTGTTGTGAGGATCAGCTAGAATAATATTTCTAAGGAGCTTAGCACAGTTTCTGGCACATGGCAGTACTTATTTCCTGCTGGTCTCAGTTTTTTCATCTGTAAAATGAGGTGGTTGAACTAAATGGCCTTTAAGGTCTCAACTCTAGGTCTATGATTCTATAGCCTTTGTGTCCTTGGGTAAGTCTCTTTACCTCTCTGGTCCTCAATTTCTTCATCTGTGAAGTGGTGGTTAGGTTTAATGAACTCTAAGAACACTTCCAGTTCTAAAATCTCTGATTCTATTATCTTGTCCTTTGAGATGATGTAAAGATCAAAGTAATCTCTGACCCCCAAGGTCACAGACACCTTATTAACTTCTGTTTCTTCTTATTGGTAGGAATTTGGGGCACTAATGAGCAATTACTCACTTCCCCCACCTCTGCCTACATACCATGTCTTGTTGGAAGGAGAAGGCCTGGGTCAGTCATTGGGTAACTTTAAGGATGACCTACTCAATGTATGCATGAGACACGTGGAGAAGATGTGCAAAGCAGATCTGAGTCGAAATTTCATTGAGAGAAATCATATGGAGAATGGTAGGTTGCATACTGGTAAGACGGCTCCAAAATCCCTTTGTTCTCCCAGTAGAGACTGGTCCTCCTCTCTGTTTTAGAAATAAATAAATAGAAACCCACACAGCCTCCTCCTTCTACATTCACCACTATGTCACTCCATACTCTGGCTGATTTGGACTTCAGCTAGATTGGTTCAATGTATAGAACAGAATAGAATGGAATAGAATGGAATGGAATGGAATGCAACACTATGTACATTCAATAGACAGATGGATAGATGGAATGGCACACATAGACAGACAGACAGATAGATATTAGGTAGAGTTAGAAACATAAAGACAGATATGGATAGGTAGATAGGTAGATAGATAGATAGATAGATAGATAGATAGATAGATAGATAGATAGATAGATGGATAGATGGATAGATAGGTGGATAGAGGGATACATAGATGGACAGATAGATAGAGGGATAGATGTATAGGCAGGTAGAAAGATAGATTGATAGGTGAATAAATAAATGGATGAGTGAATAGATAGATATTAGGTAGAGTTAGAAAGATAGACAAATATAGATAGATTGATAGATTGATAGATAATAGATTTATAGACATATATAGAGAGAGATGGCCATGATATAGTATTTAAAGAGCTGGCCTTGGAGCCAGGACAACCAGGGTCCAAGTCCTACCTCTGCCATATACTGGCTATGTGACCCTGGGTGAGTCATTTATTATTTCAGTGCTCTACGCAGCTCTTGAAGACTGTAAGTTGGAAAGACATTGCCAATCTGGATTAGTAGAGGGAATTTTCTCACCTGGGTAGCTCCCTATACTAGTGAAATCATGAAATCCATATCCATAGCTTAAAACTGCAAAACTTAAGATTTTTGGAACACACATTCATACAAAAATGTACATCAGCATATTGATATGTGTATATGTATGTTAACTTTAAAAAGATAAAGATACCATAAGAAACTATACCTCCACAGCGAGAAGTATGTAGGCCACACACAGGTGGATAGATAGTATCACGGAAACAATGAACATGAACTTGGACAGATTTTGAGAGACAGTGGAGGATAGAAGGGCCTAGCGTGCTACAGTCGATGGGGTCACAAAGAGTGAACGATTGAACAACATCTCGGCCACAGGGTTAGCAAATATGATCATTGAGCATACTTCCTGCCAGGTCATCCAGACAGTGCAGGCTTAAGCCAAGGGAATGTAGATGGTGGATTTCAGATCTTCCACATCTGTTTATCAGGCAGCACCCATTGGCTGCAGAGAGGCTATCCCTCCCATGGAGCCAGCCATGTTGCCTTTGGTGATCTGTGTGGATGCAGCTTTGTTAGCCATAATAATATATGGTCTTATTAGATCCTCACAACCTTATGAAGAAGATATTACTGTCTTCAATTAGTAAGTGAAGAAAAGGAGGCCCAGAGAAGTTAAGTAACTTGCTTGTAGTCACATAGCTAGTAAAAGTCAGAGGTGGGATTCAGATCTGGGTCTCTCCTGGCTCCGTGTGTAATGCTCATCCCAGTACACTGTGCTAGCCCAACATGATGACTTATTGGACAATAAAAATTGAAACGAGTTTTGCACAGTTATTGTCCTTGGCCATAGAGGAAAGAGCTGAGGAGAGCAGGCCAAGCCGAACTTCAGAACGCAAAAGTTTCTGTAGAATTGGATCTGAATCCTTCCCATTCCCAGATGAGATCACCTGGACCATGTCTCAGCAAGCCCTGGTCTCATAACTTGAAAAATGGCTCCAATGGAGGAACTGTTTTGTTTTGTTTTTCTGTTTTTTTATTCTCTAATAAGCTAGTCTCCTCAGGCTAAAAGCCCTTATGTTTTCTCCTCTGGTCTTCATGCCCAACTTCCCCACTCTAAACCTTAATGTCAAGCTTCTGACAGGGGTTTAATCTGATGGATGCTCTTGATAGAGCCATAAGTTGGAATTTTGGTGCCTGGGACAAAGGCAGGTGAGGCAAAAAGGAGCTCACCTGGAGTGCAGGAAGGCCTTGAGATATCATCTTGGCTTGTATGCACTTACATCATTGATAATTTTAGGTGTCCCCCACGAAAAGCATAGCATAGATCTTCAAACGTGAGAGCAGTGCAACACAGACTTGATTGGACTCAGTTTTGCTAGGAAAGTGGTCCTTGCCCCAGAGAACCAGCTATTTTTGTAGTCAGTGACATCTAATTGTTGGCCCTCCCAGCCATCAGGAAGGGGTGGAAGCTGGGGAGGAGCATGTATGAGGTGACATGGTGGGAAGTCAGCCTCTTGGCAAAAGATATATGTCAGCAACAAGGCCACTGGACAGGGGAACAGGTATAGCTACACAAAGTCAGGCAGTGTGATACAGGCCAGCATAGGATCATAGGGGCAGGGACATGGGACTTAACAGGACTTGTATATTCTCTCATATCATTGCCCTGTGGCAAAGGCCCAATTTCTCCATCCTGGTTATGGTTCTGGTCATTGAGTTGAGACTGGTATTTTTTTCCTCTGGTTGTGCATGCCCGGAAAAGATGGTTGACCTCTGTTGTCTGCCAACAAGGTGGAGGACCTGATTCTGTGTGGGGTAGGTATAAGGGTAAGATAAGGTGAGGGGGTAATGATATGTAGGAGGCTCAGGATTGAGGACTGAGATAACTCATCAGTGAAAAAATTACCATGAAATGAGCCCTCCTAAAATGCTGAGGAACCCACTAATGTATGACTCATTTCTCAGGCACAGATCATGGAGGTGGCAGTGGGGTGCTATACTCCCATCATGGTTTTGCAAATGTCAGCTTAGATCTGGGTTTGCCCTGTGAGATCTGGGTCTGGCCTCGTCCTTGGTAGAGGCAGGCATGGCCTGAAAGGCTCAAGGGAAAAGCCAGATACCCAATCCCACGCTGGCCCATTTTGTAGGTCAAGGTTGATGACTCTACCTACAACAGGTTTGGCTCCGTCAAGCCTTCCAAAGGCAGGAAGCCTAGTGGGAGAAGGGGAATATTGCTGATGTCAGTGCCTCAGCCTTAGGCTGGGGTGGCTCCCTTACTGAGGTTTACTCCTTTTCATCTGTAGTTCTCTGTCCAGATGTAGGTTGGGGAGTTTATAGGATTATAGAATAGTAGACTTAAATCTGGCAGAGAACTTAGCACTTCATGGTGGGAGGCCTTGGCTAGGAGGCTCTGAGTAAGTTAGCTATAGGAACAAGTTGTCTCCATCTCTCTCTTGATTGCCAAGAGTCTTTGCTGCTCCATGGGAGGAGGAAGAGGGATTAGAGAATTGGACCTCACTGGCAGCTCCCTGACTAACATAGGAAAACACTGAGTCACACTCTCCCCATGCCCTGGTGCATGGGTCAAGGGGGGGATCAGGAACAGGTTTCCCCTAAGAGATGGTATCAGAGATGAAATGGACAAAATCCTAGACTAGGGGCAATTTGACCCAAATTTTCTTTTTTTTTTTTCATTTTTAGTATTTTATTTTTCCCCAATAACATGTAAAAACAATTTTAACATTCTTTTTTTTGGTTTTGTTTTGAGTTCCAAATTCTACCCCGTGGTCCTTCCCCTTTCCCCTACCTGAGATAGTAAGCAATAGGCTACCAATCTTGTAAAATCTTTGTAAAATCAATCTTGTAAAACATTTCCACATTAATCATTTTGTGGAAGAAAAATTTAACAACCACCCCCCCCCAAAAAAAGAGGAAAAACAGTATGTTTCAGTGTGTATTCAGATGCCATCAGTTCTTTCTCTGGAGGGCAGATAGCATTTTTCATCATTAGTCATTCAGGATTGTTTTGTATCATTGTATTGCTAAGAATAGCTAAGTCATTCACAGATGATCATCATACAGTATTGCTGTTACTATGTACACTGTTCTCCTGGTTCTGCTCACTTCACTCTGCATCAGTTCATGGAAGTCTCTGCAGGTTTTTCTGAAATCAAACTGCTCATCATTTCTTACAGCATAGTAGCATTCCATCACAATCGTATACCACAACTTGTTCAATCATGCCCCTATTGATGGGCATCCCTACAATTTCCAATTCTTAGCCACTACAAAAAAAGCTGCTATAAATATTTTTGTACAAATATGACCTAAACTTTCCGAGGTAATTCTGTCTGATAACAGTTCCTTATATCAATCTTGGCCCATGACTCTCTCTCGATAAGCCTAAATTACCCCTACCCTCCATGAGGAAGAGGAAAGGAAGGAGACATTTAAGATGAAGGAAAAGGCAGGAGAAAGGAATGGGGTGGAGAAATGAATGAGAAGCCAAGTGCCCAGAAGTCTAATTGTCATGGATTAGGAGACCTGTCAGTGTCTGTAACTCTGTAAATCAAGTAGCTTGTTTCTCTTCTAGTTCCTAGTACACTTGATGATAGTTTAAATCTTTAAGGTCAAGGCCAGGATTTTTTAAAACTTTTTAGAATGTGTCATGGACCCCTTTAGCCATCTGGAAAAGCCATTCTCAGAATAATGTTTTTAACTGCATGGAATAAAATACACAGGAGTACAAAGGAAATCAGTTATATTGAAATAAAGATATATATTTTTTTCCTATCCAAGTTCATAGACACCTTGAAATCTATCCATGGACCTTTTAGGGGGATCTCAGGACCCCAGATTAAGGACCTCTGTTATAGGGTAAGACATTCAGTTGTTCAGTCATTTTTCAATCACATCCAACTCTTTGTGACCCCATTTTTGGAGATCTCTTAACAAAGAAACTGGAGTTGCTTGCCATTTCTTCCTCCATTTTACTCATTTTATCGATGAGGAAACTAAGGCAAACAGGGTTAAGTGACTCGCTCAGGTTCACACAGCTACTAAGTGTCTGAGGCCAGATTTGAACTCACAAAGGTGGGTCTTCCTGACTCCAGACCTGACACTCTAAGGGTAAGACTTGGGGACTTAGTTATACAGGACCCGCAGCTCACATTTACAAGAGAGGCAACTAAGCATGTATAGTGGATAGGCATTAGATTTGGAGTCAGGAAGATCTGAGTACAAATGCTCCTTCAGTCCATATTAGTCGTGTGACCCTGGGCAAGTCACTTGATCTTTGTATCAGTTTCCTCATATGTAAAATGAAGGTAATAATACCACCTATCTCACAGAGTTATGCAGATGAAATGAAAGAATATTTGTAGAGAGCTTTGCAAACTTTACCATATGATATAAATGGTATTAATAGGGCAGCTAGGAGGCACAGTGGATAAAGTGCTGGGCCTCGAGTCAGGAAGACTCATCTTCATGAGTTCACATCTGGCCTCAGACAGTTATTAGCTGTGTGACCCTGGTCAAATCACTTAACCCTGTTTGCCTCACTTTCCTCATCTGTACAATGAGCAAGAGAGGGAAATGGCAAACCACTCCAGTATCTTTGCCAAGAAACCCTTAGTTGGAAACGACTGAAGAACGATTTTTATTAATGAAAAAAAGGGGCAGTGTGACAAAGTAGGAAGGAAGGAAGGAAGAAAGGAAAGAAGAAGGAAGGAAGGAAACAATCATTTATGAAGCTCCTACTATGTGCCAGTCACTGCATTTTATACATATTTTATTTTCTTCTCACTATAACCCTCAGAGGTAGGTGTTATTATTAATATCTCTGTCAAACCTCCTCTGTAAAATGAAGAGGTTGGGTAAGATGACTTCTAAAGTCCTTTCCAAGTCTAAAGCTATAATCCTAAGAATGAACTAGTTAATTTTGTACCAAGAAATCCATGGACTATTTGTAAGCTCTTGATAGGAATGAGACAAGACAAGAAGGCATGATGGAGAGGGACAAGGCCCTAGAAGGCCCAAATTCAAGTCCTTACTAACTATGGGACCTTGGTCAAGTTCCTTCTCTCTGAGCCTCAGTTTCCTCAGCTGTAAAATGGAATATGATGATATTGATATGATAATACTTGCACTGCCCACCTCCTAGGATTGTTGTAAGGAAAGTGCTTTGTAAATGTGAATGCACTCTAGAAATGTGATTTTGTCCATGGGAACTCACTTGGAATCCTGGAGACTCAGCCTGATGTGGCCATATTATCACTGGATGATGAGGTTGTAATGTCTGTACTTCAAGGATCTAGGAATTCATTGTGTGGGGCCCCCCTCCACTAACACAGATTGTGCCCCTTCAATTATCCTGTGGCCACGAAACAGTTCTGATCCTGGTGAGGATTCTTGCTGAGCTTAGCCAGGCCAGTTCTTTGGCATCAGGCATTAGCACCTTTCCAGTTGGGTAGGACCTGATGAAGTTTGGGCCATGCTAGCTGAGCTTAATGTTACCTCCAGACTACGGGAGGAAAACTTTAGTTCTGAGGCTAATACATCCCAAGACCAGGGCCTCCCTCCATCCCTCTCAGTGACCCTGTCTCAGCCCTCTACTGATCCAGCCCTGTCTTTTCTCCCCAGGCGACCATCGCTACATGAACAACTATGCGTCTGACTGGGGCCAGTCAGACACCATGAAGAGATATTCCATGTACCTCACACCCAAGGGTAAGCAACAGCTGCATTCATTTACTCTGTGGGACTGTGAACCCACTGTGGCAAATTCATATATCCTGGCCTTGGCCTTTAAGGTTCTTCCTCCCTCCAGATGTTCCCCATTTGATCTCTTATTCCACCAGTCTCCATTTCTAGGATAGCTTCACCTGACTGTATGCTTTAAACAGGTTTCTAGACTGAAAGGACCAGGGCCTGAGCCTGGGCCTGGGCTTGGGCCTTGGTAAAATAGGCTAAACTTCCAACTGTTCCTAGCTCTTCCTTGGAATTAGCTCCTAGGACCTTGCCTTTAGTTCCAGGGCTCTCCTTTCCCTGTTTTCTAAACTCTCCTGACTGTTTTTGAATTAGGCTATGAGCCCTTGACCTTGGCCATTGAGCCTGCTTGGTTCCCTGGGTTCTGTTGGCCAGGTTATCCTTAATTAACTTTCCCTCTACCTCTGTCCCTTGCCACCATAACTGGCCACACAATTCTGGCGTCTGTTTCCTCTTCAGTTTTATATCAACATATTCCAGGTTATTATAATGTGTTTCATAGGGATTTTTTACAAGAGAAAAGAAAACATAAAACCCCAGAAAGGTAAGGTAATTAGTAGTGTGCATTTAAGAAAGCAACCATGGCTGGTGCTTAAACTTTCTAAGGCTATTTATCTAATGCCCAATTCCTCACATCTTCTTGCCCCATGACTCTCTCTAATCCTCTAGTCTAATGCCAGTTTCCACACCTTATTGGCCAAAAAAGAGACCAGGGCTTTCCCAACCAGAATACTTTGAATCAGGATTCTTTGTCTTGGACTGTCTAGATCAGGCTGATTTGCCCATTCTAAAATGCCACAATTATACTTTGAGCTGTACTGGAGAGCCTCCAGTTTCTGCCCTGTTGCTGGCTTCTCAGCTCTCTTTCTTCCCTGCCACTGGAAGGTGTGCAAATAAGCATAGACCTTGTTCTCCATCACCTCGAAAATCAGAATAAAAATCCACAAGACACTCTCCAAACCTTTCTGTACTCTCATAGAACTGGCAGCTAGGAAAACCTTCTTCCTCCTTCTTTGATAATTGTCGTTGCTGTTGTTATTGTTCAGTTGTGTATGACTCTTTGTGACCCCGTTTGGGGTTTTCTTGGCAAAGATGCTGGAGTGGCTTGTGGTTTGCCATTTCCTTCTTCAGCTCATTTTACAGATGAGGAAATTGAGGGAAACAGGGTTAAGTGACTTGTCTAGGGTCACATAGCTAATAAGTGTCTGAGACCAGATTTGAACTCATGAAGATGAGTCTTCCCAACTTCTGGCCTGGCATTCTATCCACTGCGACACCTAGCTGCCCCATCTTGGATAGTCCATGGTGCCAAATCAACAGAACCCAGTGCTAGGAAAGCACTTTGAAGGCTATTCCGTTCAAATCCCCCCATTTTACAGATGAGGAAACTGGGACCTAGAGAGATAATGTGATCAACACAGGGTCACACAGGAAGTTAGTGGCGGAACTGGAACTAAAGCCTAAGTCAGCTAACATCAGGTCTGAAAAGAGTGCTGTACTCGGAGTTAGGAGACTTGGATTTGAATCGTGGTTCTGCCCCTTACTTCCCATGCAGTCGCTGGGCCTCAACTACCCAATTTGTAAAATGAGTGAATTGGACACCATCCTTTCTCTTCCATCATTGCTTCCTCCCCTAGAAGACAAGAGCCAAATGTCCCTCAGCTTTAAAACCCAGCACAGGGCTCTCTTTGCATGCAGATAACAAGGCCAGGTTTTCACAGGGCTGGCTCCTGATAGGTTCTCCTTCCCTTTCACCTGTCCTCCACCTTCCTCTAGCCAATGGCTAGTCTCCCTGGCTCAGGAGATCATTTCCCGTCTGCTTGTGCTCCCACCCCCTCGCACCTGGCCCATCACCCATAACCCTGTGCGTTCTCCCTTATGACCCAAATGTCCTCTCATACCATCGAGGGGACACTGCCCTCCTTCACCTAGAGAATGCAGGGGAGGGAGCTAAGGTCCATTCACAAAAGAGAAGCCCAGTGAATGGGTGTTTTCCTATTCAGTGCCCGTGGACATTTGGATCCAGCTGCTTCTCCTATAGTGGGGGCCCTACCCAGCTTGAAAAACAGCATCTGGGCTGTGTGAGGACTGTCTGGGGGTGGCAGCAGTGAGGGATGGGACCTTGCCTTCACATTCCTATTGCATGCCAAGCCTGAGCTCATCTTCCAGCAGATGGTTGTGCTAGCTTACTGTGCCCTGCAAGGGGAGGAGATGACATAGAGTAACCTGACCCATGCCTCTACATGCTGTCTTCCTGGCATTTGGGTGTCTTGCCTGGATGGACCTGTTCTGGGCTCCACCAATTTCTTCCTAGTCAGTTCTTATGGGGCTCATCACCAAGTCCTCTGACACTGGCCCCTGTGGGCTTCCCCACTCTGCTAAGCAGTGGGGGTTTCTGATTATGTCATCTCTAGTGTTTCCCTAGCCTGGGAAAGGGAGAAACTATGAAAAGGTATTACTTTATAGCAGGAAAAATGCTAGACTTACATGACATGGGAACATTGAAATCAAAGGATCAGAAGGATCTTGGTCCTCATTTTACAAATGGGGAAACTGAGGCCCAGAGAAGGGAATTGACTTACCCACAGTTGCTCACATTGTTGGGATTTGAACTCTGGTCCTTAGACTCCAAATTCAATGTTCTTTCTGGTATACTGCCCTGCTGTTTCTGCTGCCAATCAGCAGTATGACCTTAAGCAAGGGATTTGATCTTTCTAAGCTACAATTTCCTGATTTGTAAAATGAGGGGGACAGATGAGATGATCTCTAAGGCCCTTCCACCTCTGAATTCAAAAATTCTATTTTATGGCCCTGTGACTCATTGGCCATTCAGTCTGAGAGGAATGACCATTGGGACATCTTAAAGAAGTCCCACAAGCAGTTTGCTTGGCTAGAGCTGCTATTCCACATTGGTAAGCAACCAGAAATGAGGGATACACATATGAGAGGGATGATCTATGAAGTACCTAGGTGAATAGAGACTTGGAGTCAGGAAGGTCTGAGTTAAAATCCAGTCTCAGACACTTAAACATTGGGGGAGTCACTCAACCTCTGTTTGTTTCAGTTTCCTCATCTGCAAAATGGGGATAATAATGGCATCTACCTCCCAGGGGTTGTTGTGAGGGTCAAATGAAATGATATTTGTATAGCACTCAGCACAGTGCCTGGCACATACGAGGCACTGTTATTATTACTGCCGATGAAGTCTTCCCTGAGTTCAAATCTTCTCTCAGACACTTATTTGCTTGTGATGCCAGGCAAGTCATTTCACTTTTCTCAGCCTCAGTTTTCTCATCTATAAAATAGGGATAATAATAGCGTCTAGGGCTTTCTAAAAAACTAAATGAGATAAAATCTTTAGAGCATTTTGAAAACCTTAAAGAGGCATATAAATGTTAGCTATTATTATATACCACATATAAGTGTTTTTGATATATATACATAATTTCACTGTCAGTGCTTTTGGTGGGGGGGAAGATATTAAGTGTCCTTATATGACTATTCTTCTCATGGTCTAAAGAACTCAGTTTGGGAAGCTGCTCTAGATATGAAATAAGATGTATCCATCCACTTAGCCTCTGGCACTTAAAGAGGATTCTTCTAGGACAGTCATGGCTCAGGTATCCTCAACCTTGACCTTCCTGATGGACAGGGAGCCTAATTCACAGAATCACAGAATCATCTAGTGCAACCTATATTTGAAAAGGAATCCTTTCTATGCCATCCCAGATAAATGGCCATCCAGCTTCTGCTAAGACCTCCAGCAATGGGGAGCCTTCTCCCTCCTGAGGTAGCTCACTTCAGTGAGGGGTAGCTTCAATAATTAGGAAATTTGTCTTCATAGGCAGTGAAAATCTGTCTCCTCAGCACTCCCACTTGTCACTTCTAGCTCTGACCTCTAGGATCAAACAAAGTGAGCCAGCTACTTGAACAGAGCGTTCATGCCATGGCCGCCACCTCTCCCTCTAGTCTTTTCTTCTTCAGAGTACATCTCTCCATACACCCAGTTCCTTCCTTGATTCTCCTAGGACAGGATTTCTCCTCTCCTGCATGGTTGCCTTCACTGTGCCCCATTTCCATTGCCTGGGACAAATTTATAAAATAAGGCAACCTCTTCTAGTTTCTCCTTTCTGTTCTCTGCAGCACCTCACTCTTCATTCCCCAGTGACACTGATACTATTCCATATATCATCAATGGAAGGCCTTCCTCTTAGAGAGCTTAGTACGCACTCATAACCCTAAAGTGTAAGCTGGTCAAGCTTAAGCTGGCACTTATACTGAAGGTGTTTCATTCTAATAGGAGACACTGGAAAATCTCACATGGTTTTAGGGGCTGCTCCTTTCCCTCTGGTAAATTTCTAATCACGGCCTTTTAGACACCAGCATGGGTTATCAGAGAGGGGGTTTTGGGTCAGGGACTGCTGCTTCTTCTTCAGATCATACCCAACACGTACTCTTCATCTCTCTCCTCAGCTGGGGCCAGGACATCTTATCAACCTTCTTCTCCAGGCCGCCTCACCAAAGAGATCAACCAAAAGAACTTTAACAATCTCTATGGAACGAAAGGTAAATGCCATCGGGACAGTTCATGAGCTGGCCGAGGTAATGGTGAGGTCACATGAAAGCAGGAGGGAAAGCTAAACCAGGAGAGAATGACATTGGTGGGATGGAGATGGTGTCAGGGTGGAGAGGGTGACCTCCTATACAAGATGGGTTTAGAAAACTTTCAGGATGTGTGTGTGTGTGTGTGTGTGTGTGTGTGTGTGTGTGTGTGTGTGTGCATGTGTGCGTGTGTGCATGTGTAGTGGAGCTGCAAGCAGATGGTGAAAGTCTGGAGAAAAGGCCAAAAGTAGTCATTCAGAGATAAAGACAGTCACGTGGCACTTAGTAAAGCCTGAGTCAAGAGTTCCTGAAATCCATCTGCTTGCTATTCTCACCTAGGATGGAATAAGAGGAGAGGGGAGACGAGCTGCCACCAGAGGGCTGAGTCTAATATTAATTCACATTTCTATAATGTTTTATGGTTTACAAAATGCTTTCCTCTCAAAAATCCCATGTAGTAGGTAGAATCCCCATTTTACAATTGGAGAAACTGAGGCTTGAGAGATTAAGACATTTGTCCATGAGCAAATTATCTCATGTTTTCTAATTCCAAGTCCTGGGGGCTACCACTACTTGTACCCTACTACTTGTAGAATCAAGAGATTCCTGACATTAAGCATTAATATTTGGGTTGGGAAATCCATATTCCTGGTTTTGTGGTAAAAACACTAGTCTTAGAATTGGAGGATCTGGCACTTGACAGAATCCACTTACTTAGAATCCTGCCCCTTACCTGCTGTATGGTTCTGGGAAAAACTGTTTACCCTTTCAGAGCATCAGTTTCCCCATCTGAAAAGTGGGAATAATGATACTTCAGAGAGTTGCTGTGAAAACACACATCACGTGCTTAAAGGAACCCTAGAAATGAGAATTATTATTTTAAGGCATCATCCTACCCAAAGGCAAAGGGATGGCCCAGATGAATCCATAGGTCTAGGAATCTATGATTTTATGCAAGCTAGTCATGAGCTATTTCATTGTTGTAGAATGTCCTTAGAGGAGAACACCTGAAGCATCAGACCTAATCTGTGAACTTTCTAGCTCTGTGTTCCCACAGAGAGTATCTTTAATATGGGGGGACAAAAATAAGTTGCTTATACTAGTGAAAATATGGAAACATGGAGGCATGAGGAGGGAAGATGGAAGGTTCCTTTTTGGTTAGGCTCAAGTACTAAGTGTCTCTAAGAGAAGAGTGGCAGAACCCAGTAGAAGAAACACTAGATTGGTGTTTGAGGCCCTGGAAGAAAACATGATGGAGTGGAAAGAATCCTAGATTTGGAGTTAGAGAGTCTAGGTTCAAGTCTCAGCTCTACAGCTTAGTACCTGTGGACCTGTGTCACCTAAATTCTTTGGACTTCAGTTTCTTCAACTGTAATAGGAAAGAGTTGGACTAGATAATCTTTATGGCTCTAACTCAATGACCCATTCCTAGTTGGGCAATGTTGGGAAAATCCTTTGGCCTCTCTAGTTTTGGTTCCAGTAGAAGATCTCCTTGTAATTATGAGAGGGCATAAGTTCACTGGCACTCTTGGTAGCAGGTTGTTACAGAGATCCCTCATATATCTAGGAGATTTTGGTTTAGAGAAAAAAGGTTGCCAGTAATTTCTACTGTGCTTGGAAATCCAGCTATCTCTCCTCTGCAGGCAGCTAGAGCAGATAAGTTGGGCAGGAGGCTGAGAGGAAGATCTCAGCCATACTGGAAGCTCCTTTGGCTGCAACAGAGGGAGGATGGGGTACTACGCCACATATATGTCCTATCGATTCTCCATTACACATGTTGTAGACTATCTGTGGCAAAATGTTGGTACCTGACTGATTTTTTTCCCGAAGTCATCTAGCCCACTCCACACTGCCTTGCTCCTTCTGTCCAATCTGAATGTGTTCAGGGAATACAAATTTCTTTGACTATTAGATCAAACCAAAGAAAATTGAGGAGGTAGCACAAATTGCCCCTCGAAGTCCCAGGCCTGTGACACACAGAAATGGCCTTTGGATTATCTGAGGTTTTGGGTCTGTTTGCTATTTCTTCTACTTGCCTGGTATGGATAATTGAGAACAATTCCAATCTCTAGCGCTCTTTAATTCCAGCTATTCCAGGGACAAATCCAGATGGGGTGGCTAGATTTCAACACTCACTCTTCTTCCCTACCAGGTAACTACACTTCCAGAGTATGGGAATACTCATCCTCCATTCAGAGCTCCGATGATGTGCCTGTCGTCCAAGGCAGCTCCTCCTTCTCCCTGAAAGGTATTGTTCCTCCCTCCTTCCGACTCCCAGTGACCACCTCTCTTGTTGTCCCTGTTCTTCTCTCCAGCTATGTTCTCCTTCCCCTATGGACCTCCAATAGGTCTTTTTAAAATCTGTTTTCCCCATTTTGGCTAATTTATTATTGTGCAACATAAAAAGCACTTGGACTCTGGAGACCTGGGTTCCAGCCTTAACTCTGTCCCTGCTGTGTGACTTCGGGAACGTTGCTTGACCTGTCTTGGACCTCATTTGACTAATTTGTAGAAATTAGTAATAACTAATATGTCATTATAATTTATAAATTAGTTATAAATTTATAACTAACATATAATTAACTAATTTATAAAATAAAGGTTTGGACTATATGTTACAACATCGTGTGGTAGATATAGAGCTAGCCTTGAAGCTAGGAAGATGTAGGTTCAAGAGTCACCTCTGACATATATGGTTTGTGTGATCCTGGGTAAGTCACTCAACTTCAAAGTGGTCTAGGCAATTCTTTAAAATTTAAAGTTGCAGAGAAAATGCTGACCTATATTAGTAGAAGGAATTTCCTCACCTGGAAATCCATGGGTCACCTTCCTATCCTTATCCCTTAGATATGACCTCATGACCCCCATTCATTGACTCCTTTCCCTGCAAAGGAATCTCAATATCTTTTTTTATTTCTTTCTTTCTCTTTGCTTCATTCCCTTAAGCTCCCTAACAAGACGTGAGGTATCTAGGACACCTTCCCTTGAATGCTTCTCCAGTCAAACTCAAGGTCTATCACGAACTAGAAACAAATCCCTAAGCCCAAAGGGAGCAGTGGCCCACAGGAGGACAGAGAAGAAGGCTCACATCCCCAAGATGATGTTGGGATTGCCCTAGTAGGTGCTGATGGAAGCAAACCTTCCCTTCCAGCTCCTCATCAACAGGTGGTCTGGAAGGGAAATAATCCCCAGCTGTGGTAGGCAGGAGGGGCTGGGAGACTATCGACAGCTAGTTCTTTGATACCAGATGCTCTAACCTGCACCTTGAGGTGGCTTCAGCATCTTGGAAACGGACTGGAGCTAGACCTCTGGGCAGGGCCTAAGGATCTAGCAGGGTACACGAGGCAGGGAGTGGTCAGCTTTAAGGTCACCTGGGAGTTCCAGTGGGCCAGTGGTCTTCAGATAAGACAGAGTCTGTCAACCATCACTAGAGATACTGAGTTATTTGTAAGTCAGCACACAGACTTAATTGCATGGCCTATTGAAAAATACCGGATTTGGAGTTAGGAGATCTGGTTTTGATTGTGTTACTGTAGGCAATTTGGTTCACCTCTCTAGACCTCAGTTTTGTTGTCTGTAAGATGAAGAGGTGAGGCTAGGTGGTCTCTAAAGTTCCTTTCCATCCTAAATCCTGAGATGCTCCATGGGCAGAGGAAATAGACCCTTTGCTGCTGTTTGGTTAATTAGTTGTGTTTGACTCTTCATGATCTCTTTTGGAGTTTTCTTGGAAAAGATACTGGAGTGGTTTGCCATTTCCTTCTCCAGCTTATTTTACAGATGAGGAAACTGAGGCAAACAGGGTTAAGTGATTTGCCCAGGGTCACACAGCTACTAAGTGTCTGAGGCCAGATTTGAACTCAGATCCTTTTGACTCCAGGGCCAGCTGCACTGTGCATGGATCCTTACATGGGGTTAAGGATGGCCTTCCTACCTCCTAATATCTTTGCTTAGACCCTTGGTGCCCCATTATGAGAAACGTTCCTTCGGATTAAGGCATCCTCTCTGGACATTCTATATTGTTCATTCTTCCCTTGACCAAGTAGTAAACCTACCTCAGAGGGTAATTAATATCATACAGGTGCAAGCTAATATCCTATGTTAGATTTGAAGGAGAAGATCAATACCAACCAGGGGAGTCATCCTGTACATGATAGAGGTTGGGAGAGATAATTTTATCAGATGATCTGGGAATATACCATAGAAAAGCTGATTTAGGTCAATGAACTAGTAACTGATTCATTGAATCGTTCATATTCATTCATTCATTCAGTTTTTCTTGAGTGCCTTTTTGGTGCCAGCAACTATATAGGATGCTGTGCATTTTTGTAGACAGGAGAGCCTTGGAGCAGGGGATGCAACCTGGAAGATCAGGCCCAGGATGGGATCCATAGTAACAGCTCTAAGGCACGTAGTAGAGGCGGACAGTGCTGAAAAAGAAAATTCTGGGGAATCACCAAAAACAATTTCTCTTTGTGTCCCCTCCTTTCCCCAAGCACCCCACAACCTGTCTCAGTCTTCCTCGGGCCTGCTTAGGCCCTTCAAGATGCCTCTAACATTTAGGGTGCAAACTGGGGGTATGTTGGCAAGCCTCAGAAGCAGGAAACTTCTGTTGTAAAGGAGGGGGCTCCAAGGAGAGGCTAGAGGCTTCTGTAGGAACACCCACACTGCGCTTAATCCACTGGGCCTTAAGACTCTTAAACTGGAAATCAGAAAAATTAGTTCAAACCCCAGCTCTGCTATCTAATACCTATGGGGAGTCAGACAAATTACTGAAACTGATCTGGGCCTCAGTTTCCTAATCTGTAAAATGGAGGAGTTGGACCTGATGGCCACTCAGATCTTATGACACCTCCTGGTCATCTAGGCTCATCCTCAAAAGCAGCACACGGTTGCTAATGCCTCTCTTTCTCCCAGCAGGCAGTGGGAAAGTTCCCTATCAGTTCACCACCCTGGGACAGGCCTCTACAGAGTTTTCCAAACAGTTGGATGGTGGCCTGTTTAACACTGGTACCCGATCAATTTCCATTTGTTTCCCCCACCCTTCTATTCCTGCCACCCTTTATTCCCTTGTGGGGAAGATGGAATTTCCAGCAGGGCCTCTGCTTTCATCTCTGGGGCATCCTGGCCCTCCCTCTCAGAAGAGTTCCCTGTCAGTGGTATGCATGGCTCTTCTCCCAAATCCCAAGTTCAGACCTTCTCTCTGGGGCTCTGTTGGTGCACGCCACCATCCATCCCCATGCAGCCATTATTCCAGCCTCTGAAAAGCAGCAAGATAGCCTCTTTTCCCCTCCCCCTTTCCCCCTTCCCATCCTCATTGGTAATTCTTTCTTTCTGGGAATATAGGATACAATTCCAGCCTCTCAAATCTCCCATCTCGTTAAGGCTTTCTTTCCCGGGGAGCAGGATGACACTTTGGCCCTCAACTCTCCATCTCCTTTCCTTCCCTCTCAGCTTATCACTGCCCCGTGGAATGGCCAATGCAGCATCTTTCCTCCCTCTGCCCCAGGGGGTTCTGATGAGGTCCTTAGGGACCAGGGCTGTACATCAACATTTGGGCCTAGGAAAGAAATGGGGACTGTCCCAGAACAAGAGCTTTAGATTAGGTCTTGGGGCCTCCTGGGCCAAGCTGCTCCAGCTGTCAGCAGCCATCCTGTTTATCTCTTTCTCTCCATGGTGTCTTGGTTACCACTGGCATTTTAACAACCGTTGTTTCCCATGGCATCAACAGCTGACCTGCGTAGTGCTACCCAAGGTGGGTGGCTGATGAAGTGTGTGCTTTTCATTTTTATAAGCTGGATTTGAGCTCAGATGGAATAAGTGCTATGCAAATTGTTTGTGGGGGAGGAAGGAAGAAGAATCTGGGGAGACCTCATTTTTCTCTTTTATAAACCCAAAGGGCTGGGGCAGCTAGGTGGCACAGTGGATAGAGCACCGGCCCTGAAGTCAGGAGGACCTGAGTTCAAATCCAGCCTCAGACCAAAGACTTGACACTTACTAGCTGTGTGACCCTGGGCAAGTCACTTAACCCTAACTGCCTAACCAAAAAAACAACAACAACAACCCAAAGGGCTGTGCTAGATGAACTTCAGTTCTAACATCCTATAGTCCTATGAGGGGTTGTCCTATTAGTAATTTTCCATTGCCCAGTCCAGAAGTTCTTGCCTCTTAATTAACCCTTCGTAGACCAAGCCCTGATGGTACTTGTGTTCTGAGCATCAGGACCTCTAGGGCCTTGGGTTGGTTCTGCCATTGCTGGGCTGCTTGACCCCATGGGCCTTAGCTTCTTGCTTTATAAAATGGGAAGAATCAGTGGTGCCCCAAGATTGTGGTAATGGGGGATGGGAGTAAGCTTCTGGAGAAGATGAGTTATTGCTGAGAAATATAAAGTGTTTTTTTTTAACATCTAGCCCCACTGGATGGCACTGAGGGTGTCAAAGCCATACTCTTCATTCCTCACTTGATCTAACTATAGATTTATAGGAAATCAATAATAGATCATTTCAATGTTTGAGTTTATGGCAATTTCAATGAGTCATTTTTGCCCAGGGTTAAGGTTTGAATTAAGAGGTCCTTTTCCTTTTTTCTGGATGTCAGCCCATTCCTCAGGGACCCCATTGCAGCTTCCTTGAGTCTTCATCATACGGTGGCCTTATTCCAGATGAGAACATTACTACCTACTCTGGGGACATTCTGCACCAAAACTTCACTGGGTCCCCTGGTCTTCTTCTTTTCTATCTCCAGATATGGCTTTCCTTGTTCTTGTTTCTTGATATCTGTTTCTGCACTCTTTTCCTTGAGGGTATTTTCGGCGCCTGGACTCTGGTCATTCACTCTCCCATCAGAGGTGGTTGCATTTTGGTGATGGGCTAGACCATGCCTGGGTCTCCTTGAGGAAGGCAATTGGATTGCTACCTAGCCCTGGCTTGAAGGAGTAACCAGTCTTCTCCCAGTCTAAACCACGTGTCTTACTCTTTCCTAGGTTACCCCTCCATCATCAGAAGTCAGAGTCCCAAAGCTCAGCCACAGACTTGGAAATCTGGCAAGCAGACTTTGCTGGTGAGTAAGGAGGCTGGGGGAAAGATGAGACCAAAGCATGCCTAGAAGTCAGCTGTATGTCACTTTTCCAAGCAGGGAACACCCCTTTTTCTTGGGGTAGGAAGGAATGGAGCAGCAGTCGCTTGAGGTCACACAGCATAATGTAGTAGAGAGACATCAATCAAGTGATAATTTAACAATAATTTCTTGAGTGTTGGGTACTTTGATTCTGGAGGTACAAGCACACACACATACAACACACACACACACACACACACACACACATACACACACACACATAAGAAATAGTCCCTATTCTCAAGGAGTTTACATTCTACTGGAGAATGCTAGGAATCAGGATATAGATTCTGTTCCTAGTTGTCACTAAATAGTTATGTTACTATGAACAAGTCATTTTACTTCTCTGGGTCTTAATTTCCTTGTCTGTGAAAGGAGAGGTTTAGATTATATGATTCCTAAGGTTCCTTCCATTTCTCTGATATCTGAATTTCAGTAAAGCAACTGGCAAACTCTCTCATACTTGTGGACAAGATGGAGGGATGTAAGTTGGATGATGGTGCAGCTGGTTGAATTTGGAATCTGTTGAATGACTGGACCCAAATCAAAGTCATTAGTGTTCACCGCCAACCTGGAAGGAAATCTCTAGTGGAATGCCTTATTAATTTGTCCTTGGGCCTACACTGAAAAACATCTTAATTGATGGCTTAGATGAAGGCATAGAAGGCACACTTATCAAATTGCCAGTAACATGAAGCTGGGAGAGATAAATAACAAATCGGTTGACAGAAAAGTCTAGAGTGATAGGCCAAATTGAATACAATGAAATTTAATAAAGACAAATGTAAACTCCTACATTTGCATTAAAAAATCAGCTTCATACTTGCGAAAAAAGAAAGATGGATGACTAGACCACAGTCTGTATAAAGAAGTGTGGGGTTTTTGGTGGACTGTGAATTAAACATAAACCAACAGTGCAAATGGCCCAGTTTCAAAGGCCATATTTTAGGAACATTGGCAGCCAGAGATGGTGAGTCAAAGGAACTTGGAATGTTTAGATTGGAGAAGAGAAGACTTATGGGAAATCTGATAGCTGCCTTCAAATAATGGGAAGGTGGATTTGCCTTGTTTTGCTTGGATCTATAGAGAAGAAGCAGGAGCAATGCATAGAAGTTGAAGAGAGGGGAATTTCAACTTGATACAAAGGGGAATAAAAATTAGAGCTATCCAAAAGTGAGCTGGACTGACTCATGAGGTAGTGAGTCCTTCATCTCTGAAATCACTAAGACTATTTAAGCAGAGTGTTGCGAATGTTGGTAGAAGAGGTTCTGCTTATCAAATTTGCCTTTAATGTTCCTGCAAACTCTGAGATTCCACAGTGGTAGTGGTGGGAGCTCTTCTTCCTCTTCCCTACTCCATTTTCCTCTCCTCTCCTCTCCTCTCCTCTCCTCTCCTCTCCTCTCCTCTCCTCTCTCCTCTCCTCTCCTCTCCTCTCCTCCTCTCCTCTCCTCTCCTCTCCTCTCCTCATCTCTTCTCTCTCTCTTCTTCTCTCCTCTCCTCTCCCCTCTTCCCCTCTCCCCTCTCTTCTCCTTTCTCCTCCCCTCTTCCCAGTAAAGTATGCATGGAGGATGTCACATGGATTTCCAGATTAAATGCAGGTGAAGAGTTGTAGCACCTGATCCTTTTCTGGAGTCCTCTATACAGCTGGCAGCAAACACATGCCCACACTGAGTACTCTGCTGCCCTCATTTCTTCTCTTCCTGCAGCCCTGAGGAGGGCTGGAAACCTCTACCTGGTTCTGCCTTTGGGTATAGAACTGACCCTTCTCAAGCCATGTATCCCTTTGGCAGTCTGATGAAGTTTATGGGCCCCTTCTCAGAGTAATGTTTTTAAATGCATAAAATAAAATACATAGAATTACCAAGGAAACAAATCATCATGGTTATCAAAATATTAGAAATACCAAATTCATAGACTCTTGCCTGTAATCTTTCCCCAGACCCCAAGTTAAGAACTTCTGGTACAGACACTAATCTCTTGGAAAGTGAGTAGCTGCCCCTGCCACATGTCTGCTATTGTTAAATCAGAGAATTCTAGGATCTAGAAAAGGGGTGGGGAACCTGCAGCCTTGGGGCCACATGTGGCCCTCTAGGTCCTCAAGTGTGGCCGTTTGATTGAATCCAAAGAAATCCAAGATTTGTTCTGTAAAACTTGGACTCAGTCAAAAGGCTGTACCTAAGGACCACACGTGGCCTCAAGGCCGCAGGTTCTCCACCGCTGAAGAAGGCAGAAGGCACCTCAGAAGCTATCCAGTTCAATACCTATCATAGCAGGGCTTCTCCCCAAAAAAGTGGTTGAAGCTGCTTAATGGGAGAAAGCCTTTCATTTATTGGTGAGGAGGGAACTAATTGAGTATGTTTGAAATTTGGAGCTGGGCCCAGAGACTCTGTAGCTGCAGCACTACAAAAGCAAACAAGGGAAGAAGAAAAAAAGGAATTGTTTCTCATCCCATATACCCTTGTTCCCCAGAGCTCATTTCCTGGAAGATGGAGCAGTCATGGCCAAGTCCCAGGCTGTCAAGGCCTGGTGCTCCCACCCACATGTGAGCAAGAGCTCCCAGGCAGGAATCAGACCATCTCTCACAGTCCCATCATTACAGTTGTTTGGTTTTGGGGGTTTTTTTCCTACTTCACTGGATTTTTATCCTATGCTACTACTGGCTTCTCCAGTAGTATGCTGCTTTACTGATGCCATGAGGGTAATGACCTGTCTGTTGCTGTCCACTGCTGCCATAGTTTACAAATGGATTTGGCATGGATGTCCCCTGTCTTTTCCCTCACTTGCCTGAGATAGAGGTTGAGGTTCTCAAAGGGACCTTGGTAGCTTTGGTAGAAAAAAAGATAAAGCTAACTCACAGAATAGAGAGCTTTTGAGTTATAGGCCCCAGGAGTTTTATCCTATGATGTCTTTATCTAGCCACAGAGGCCAGCAGTTTCCTTGTCCCATTCCCGTCTGACTCACATCTAGGCCTGACCCAATTACATGGCAAGCTAGACTACTTCTGTCCTCTTTATAGCCTTCCCTAAAGCAAATTCCCTTCTTTCTCCCCAATTGGTGCCCCTTCTATACCCTTCCTATTTTCAATCTTGGGCTATTGAAGACCTACATTCAAGGTTTATCAAATTTGCAAAGGACATGGAGCTGGGAGGGATAGCTGATATATTGAATAACAAGGGTCACTGAATGACAAGCTAGAAAGACTGGCCAAATCAAATAATATGAAATTTAATAGGGGAATATAAATACTCCTATACTTGAGTGCAAAAAAAATCAATTACACAAACCCAGGATGGGAGATGTATGGATAGATAACAATTTGTGTGGAAAAGGTTTGGGGATTTTAGTGACCTGAAAACTGAATCACTCAATCAATGAATGAACCATCAGTTAAATGCCAGGCCCTGCTAGGTGATAAGGATACAAAGGCAGAAAAGAAACAGTTCCCACTCTTTAAGGGCTTACATTCAAAAGGAGGAGGCAGCCTATATACATCTAAATGCATACAACATGTATACAAGGTAATATTTGAAGGGGAGCAAAAACAAATGGAATGACCAGGGAAGGCTTCGTGTGGGAGATGTCACGTGAGGCTAGTTTAGCCAAAAATAAGGATTCTAAGAGCTAAAGGTGGGGAGGAAATAAATTCTAGGCATGTGGACAGCTTGTTCAAAGGGGTAAAGATGGTAGATGGAATGCTGGGGATGAAGAACCACAAGTAGACTAGCTTGGTTGGAACGAAGAGTGCAACAAAGGGAGTAATATGTGATAAGGCTGGAAAGGTGGGTTGAGGCCAGGTTATGAAGAGCTTTAAGGGCACATAGAGGAGTTGGGATTTGAATGAGCCAATAGTATAACATGGCAACCTGATATAAATACCTCACAATGTTATCACGCTTACAAATGGGTGAAATAGCATTTTTACCACTACAACCCAGTGTGGTGGGTACCGCAGGCACCCATATTACAGATGAGGAAGCTCATGCTCTTAAAGGTTGTGTCCTGCTAGAGGTCATCCACCTAGTCAGTCTCTGGGGTTTTGGCTCCAGATCTTGTGATGGTGAATCCAGCACTCTAGCCATTAGGCTGCATTGCCTTGAGGCAGCCACACGTGACCCTAAGCGCATCAACAGGGGCAACGTGTCCAGAGCATAGGAGGTGATAGTCTCACAGCAATGATAAGAGCTAGCATTTATATATCACTTTGTTTACAAAGCACTTTACATGTGCTAACTCATTCAATCCTCACAACAATCCTGGGAGGCAGGAGTTATTATCTTCATTTTACAGACATAAAAGAATTACTATCATCATCACCATTGTATCTAGTGTTTATATAGTGCCTACTGTGTGCCCGGGACTCTGCCAAGCACCTTAAAAATACCATCTTATTTGATCCTCACAACAACCCCTGGGAGGTAGGTGCTATTATTATCCCCATTTTACAGATGAAGAAACTGAGTCAGGCAGAGGTTAAATGACTTGCCCATGGTCACACAGCTAGGGAGTGTGTCTGAGGCAGAATTAGAATTCAGGAATTCCTGATTCCATGTCCTGTGCTCTTTCCACTGCACCTCCTAGCCATAATCTGCCTTCTTTAGATGACATCTGGAGTATTGTGTTTAATTCTCAGGAGCCAAAGTTTAGAAAGGACATTGATAAACTAGCACATTCAGAAGGTGATTAGGATGGTAAGAGGACTGAAAACCTTGCCAAAAGAAAATTACTTGAAAAAACTAGTGATTTAGCCTAGACAAGAGAAGGCACAGGGAAGGGCAGGGTGTGATATGTCTCTTTAGATATCTGAAAGGCAGTTATGTGGAAAGGAGACTAGATTTAGTCAGCTTGATATTAGAGGGCAGAACTATGAGCAATAGTGCATTTTGCAGAGAAACAGGGTTACTGTATAAAATTGCTTGCTTCCTCAATGAAGGGGGAGGAGAGGG